TTCAAAGGGTTGAAAGATGCTTGTACGAAGTTGTGTAGGGTTGAACATAGTTGTTATGATGTTGACGAAAAAGAAAAAAACATAAAAGAAAACAAAAGAAAAAAATGAAAAATGAAAAAAAAAATAGAGAATGATGTCAATATTAGCCCTTTTGAAAGAAAAAAAGAAAAGAAAGAGAAGAATAAAAGGAAAAGAAAAAGAGAAATAAGTTGTGAGGTTGTTGTTCAAAAGCAATTAAGATTATATGTAGTTTAATGCCTGCAATTCTTTCAATTTTCTTTTAACTCTTTGAATTTTAGCCTAGTACCCCTTAGGATATATCTCACCCTGATCTTGGACAAATTACAACTATAATAAAAGTCCTTTGATCTTTGTGTGTAATGTATTTCAAATTGTGAATGTTAGAGTCTTTTCAAGCTTATGGTAGTACTAACTTTCATGTTGTACTTTTCTTATGATTTAGGGTTTAGGGTTTAGGGCTAAGTGTAAACAGTAACCTAAACACTTGAGAGTTGAGTGGAAACGATTTATCTTGTAAGGATCTTGATGCTTTTGGTGTGCTTTTTGGTAATCTATTTTTCATACTTACTTTGAATGTCATAAAAGATTTACTCACTAATGTCACTTGAAGCTTAAAATTAAAAGTTTGCTTGCACCTTGTATCCTGATAACCTTTGAGTTTGCATGCTCTGTTTCGTTTTTGTTTTGAAGTTTTTCTATTTTTAATTTTTAATTTCGCTCGGAGCACACAAGTTTAAGTGTGGGGGAATTTGATTTGTGCATCTTCATGCACATTCTTCTACTGTTATACTTAGGCGTTTCTTTATTATATTTCATTAGTTTCACCATTTTAGTGTGTTTTCATATTTAAGTTTGTTTCTAGCTTGATTTAATTTTTGTATCTTATTTTCAGCATTAGCAACTTTCAATGAAAAATTCATAATTGGAGCTATAAGAATCGGATTGAGGCATTATAATATTTGTTGGAAATCTGAGAGAAAGAGCTACAACTTTCATGTTGAAGGAAGAAGCTGATTCGGCGTGTAACAGACATAAAAAATTTGTTGAAGTTCTAGTCATTAGAAACATTTAGTTTTGGGTCGATTTTGGGCCAAGTTTTTTATGTTTTTGACCCAGTTGGGTTATGTCCTGAATTGCTTATTTTCCCCTATACCTAGGCAACCGTGGTACTATTTACATCACACAATATTCATGAAAAATATTTTTGGCTTTGTACGCTTGATATGGAGAACTAATTCCCGAAGGCAAATCATGCTACTTACGGGCTCCATTGCTTTGAGGTTATTCTAATACTAATTTAAATTCAATTTATGTTCAATCCTTTTCTATGAAATCATTTGCTTAATTTGATTGAAATTATTTGCTTAATTCAATTGTTGTTTCTAGGATAGAATTGATTAAATTCATTTGTATGCATGTTCCTAAATTTAATTGTGTGTTATCGTTTGCTTTATTCGCTAATTTGTCATATTCTTAACCGTTTGCTTAATTTGGTAAACAGGAACATAATTCGTATGAGTTTGATAAGCGCTTGTCTGATTGACCTCATAATCGAGTAAGAACGAAGTCATTTAGGGATTGGTGTTATTATAATCGATGATAAGTCATAACCCGGATCAGTAGGATTGGCCATTTTAGCTTATTGGATAATCACTTTTTTCTCTGTTTGTTAAATCGAACCTTAAACCACCCCCACCCCCCCAAATTCGATTTCAGTTCGTTATTATAATACAAGAATCCTTGTGATGCGACTCGAGCCATTGTCGCTATCTACAGTTTTAAAAATCACACGTTTTGATTCGCACGCGACATCGATCAGAGTTTTAGCCAAAATTTGCCAAAAGGGGGAGATTGAAAACTCTAAAGATTTGACTAATTTTGGTAAAACAATGTGTTGAACAAGATGTTAAAATATGTGAAGAACAACATGTCGAACAAGATGTCCTACCATGAAGACTCGACATCTTGGACTATTACAGCAGGATTTTGGTAAATCTGTTCCTAGATTTAAAGAGCGTTTTAGCAGTGGATAAAATAATATTTTAAGATTTGAAGGACATGGACAGTTAAAGATTACAAAAGGAAAACTTAAACCTAGGGAAATAGACTAATCCTTGTGTAAAACTTTTGTAAAGTAAAAATAAGGGTTTAGGATTTTGAGAGTCGTGTACTTTCTTGTGTTGTAAGTTACCCTTTGTATCGATTTTATACATTGTGGTAGACATATTTTTATATACAAATTCAGAAGCCTTTAGGTAGTGAATGATATATTGTTCTTGAATGAAACTTTGAAGCAAATCCAAGTATGTTTGTTAGTCAAGAGTCTTGGCTGAACTTTATATTGAAAGGGGTGTCTTTCAAGTAGTTTGATGCAGTCACCAGAGGTTGTGATTCTTAAATATCACTGGGGTGATTTAGGGAGTGAGATGAGTTTCTCTTATCTTATATAGAGTTCTGAGATAAAGATTGTATTGGGTAGTGATTAGGTAAAACAGAGGTTGTTTACCTGTAAACATGAGGTTGTTTACATAAAATAATACTACTGATAATAGAATCTTCTTCCTGGCTTGGGAGCCCCCAGATTAGGTGTTGTTATACACCGAACTGTGTCATCATATCTTTATATTATTATTATTCATCATAGTTCAATTTTTCTTGTTGATTGACATGTCGTATAAGATGTTGGAACATCTGTCATGACTTTGTTCTGGTAAGTATTATATCAGTGTGCTTTATTTAGTCCAAGTGTTGTTACGTAGAGATATTCGTCTCGACATGTGTTAGGATATTGCTATTTGTATACCAGAATTTCAATATGGCCTCATTCTACTAGTGGTAAGTTAACTCTCAGTGATGCTTATTCTCATAGTCTTCCTATTATGCCTTCTCTTTTTTGGACTGCTTCCATTTGGAACCAATACATCCCTCCCTCTAAAGATTTCATGGTTTGGAATATTTGTCATAATCGGCTCACCACTGACGATAACCTCTCCAAAAGAGGTTGTTTAGACCCCTCTCGTTGTAGCCTTTTCCACGATAACGAGGAGTTCATCTCTCACCTTTTTTCCTTTTCCCTTTTGCTCAACACCTTTGGCAGTGGTTCTTGTATTTAATCAAGGTTCCCAAAACTTTAGATATTTTCTAGGCTCTCAAAATTTGTGACATAACCTAGAACAAGCAATATTCTTTCATTATTCAATCAACCATTATCTCGATTTGTAATAATATTTGGATTTCTCGAAATAGTGTTAGGTTCAGGGGCTGGAAGTTTCATTGGAGGGAGGACTTGAGCTTGATTCAATCTGAGATGGCTTTCATTGAAAACAACACTAAAAAAATGGCCAACTCTTCCATGCATGAATTCACTATAATCAAGGCTTTCAAGGTTGATCTCAATCCTCTCAAAGCTCCTACATTGTGGAAGTGATATGGGCTCCTCCTTCATATGGTTGGATAAAATGTAACATTGACGACTTCTTTTTTGATCAAGAAGCTTGTTGTGGAGGGATTTTCCAAATCGATTATGGGGATTTCATGTTTTCTTTCTCAGAGATGGTGGAGGGAAATTCCACTTTTCATGCAGAGGTGTTCGGTGTGATTAGAGCTATTGAGTTTGCCTCCCATTTTGATTGGTTTAAGCTTTGGTTGGAAACAAATTCAATGATGAGCATTCTTGCCACCAAAGACCCTAATATTGTCCCTTGGAATTTGATTGATAAATGTATGTCCATAGCTAAGTCAATAGAGTTTTATATTACTCACATGGAAGTTAACCAATGCGCCAACTTGCTTGCCTAAAAAATTTCTTCCTTGATCTCTACTCTTCTTTGGGACTCCATACCCAATTTCCTTCTTTCTCTTTTGTATAATGATAAGATTGGTAGGTTCCACTCTATTTCTTTCATTATCAATATATTTTAGCCTTAAAAAAAACAACTTTTATATTCCTACACCAATTTCCTACACCAATACTTACACCGTATACACTATTCAGCGTATTTATATGGTAAACAATGTTTTTTAATAAAATAATATTAAATGGTAAATAATATTCGTGAATAGTTCCAGTGAACAATACCGATGAACAATGTTCGTGAATAGTATATGAACAATGGTTTTTAATAGTAAAGCAAAGTTGATTAATGAAGTGTAAAAAATTAGTTATGAAATGATGAAGTTGGTTAATAAACATCCTAATATTAAAAATAATTTTTAATAATAAAACACAGTTGATTAAAATATAAAAAATTGATTAATAAAATTATGAAGTTGATTATTGTCCAAATTTTTAATAGTTATAGAGTTGATTAATGAAATATAAAAAATTAATTAATGAAATTATGAAATTGATTGATGACATAGTTTTATTTTCATACTCCTACAATAAAAAAAAATATTTAAAAAAAATATATTATTATTGTAATATTTTATTGTTCATCCTATAGATGAACACATAAATACAGTATAAATGTAGATAAATGTGGTAAGAAAATCATTTTCTAATTAAAAAAAATACATGTCGCACGAGAACATATCTGCATGAAAGGGTCCTCTATTCTCCTTTACAGGTAAGCACGTAACTCAAAAGTTGAGCGTCCCACGCGAAATAGATTACAGCGCGAAAGGGTCCCTCACGTTCCAACTTTTCAGCCTTCCACAAAAGCTCCAACAACAACCATCATCATCATCTTCACCATTACAAAATTTTCATTCATCTTCATCATCACCATTGAAAAATCCTCATTCATCTTCATCATCACAATTTCTCTCTCTTTCCCCAAACGACGTCGTATCATTCAATCCTCCTTCATCTTTATCATAACCACCATTTCCTCATAACCGCTTTTCAAAATCATCTTCGACGCAGCACAACAAAACGACGTCGCCGCTGTTCAAATAGCTTCGAGATTCGAATCGGTGATTCTCCTTACGGTAACTTTTGCAACGAAAGGCATTGTAACGACGTCGTTTTCGTCACAATGCCAATCACGCCGTGCGACAGCCAGATTCCTCTTCCGTCGCCAATTCCAACCGGAAGAGGATCGCGCTCCGCCGCCAACGAGATCTTCAGCCAGTTCCTCGAGAAGAAACTCCACTTACCGGAACTCACACTACCGGAACTTCATCAACCACCAGCACCGGCAGAAATTGACCTCTGGTCTCTCCCACTCGCCTCCGCTCCTCTGCTCCTCCGATCCGCCAAGGAGTTCGGCGCGTTCCGGATACGGAGCCACGGAATCTCCAGCTATGATCTCGAAACTATAGCGAATGAAGCTGAAATCGTTTTCAAAGGCTCTAGAAAGGTTTACGTTGAGCGTAACAGGCGCTGCGGAGGGATGATTCCTTGTGTTCGATCTAGTAATGGAGAACTGGAATTCACAGCTCACAACCAAACGCATCGAAAATTTTGGTATATATATATTATATGCAATACCTATTTCTTTTCCACTCTTTATAGTTAGTTATATTATATGCATATTTATTTTAACTTACTTCAAGTTAGTGACTTTAGTTGTAAAATTCTCCATCACATTTTTGCATGCAAACTATTTTTGTTCATTGAAATTTCTATACATATGAAATGGTACTAAATTTACAATTTTATCTATATGATGTATGATCAGTTGATTAATTACTTATGATAGATTTTAGGGTTCAGTACTAATGTTACACAAATCACAATTAAGCTCCATTTTACTTGAGGTTAGATACTTGGTTTGGGCCTAAGCCCAACAAACGTGTCAAATAGAAGAATGAATTGTATTATCGATGTGACTAATTTGTTAAAGGGAAATGATAATTATATTAAGGATGGGGGTAGCGAGAGAGAGCATTGAGAATTATTCGCTTAGAGGTTTGGGCAGAGAGAAAATTGTTTCTTCTCTTATAAGCTTATCTCAGGAAATACAGTGTTTATCTTGTGTAATAGTTATTGTTATTCAATTAATAATACAATATCTATTTTTCTCAAATTTGGGTTTCTAACACTAGATTGAGAAAAATTCATTATTTGGCGCATACTTGTTTTATGTAAAACTAAATACTGCGATTTATTTGGATGTGTGCTTTATTGAATGTAAGACTTTTTGCCCTTATAATATAAGAGACAGTTTTTCTACCCATCACAAAAAGTTGGGTATTGTGTCTTCATGATTGGTTTATTGATGCTGCATAATGCATACATATTTAAAATGACGATAAATTTGATGAAACCACGAATGACACCGAGCTATTATTGAAGCTTTAAAGTATACCATTCATCAAAATCACATTGAAACACTGTTATCCTGTCAAATCACACTCAATCCAAACATGCACATGATGAGTTGTTTGATTGTTTTGAGGTTTTAAGTTTTACTGTTCAGCATGTACACAGCTGCTCATAGAAATAGACAATTGGTCGTATAGATTGTCATTCATCTCCAATGGAGACAAAACAAGGTGCTAACCTGTTTTTATGTTACACAAGCAGGATTCATATGGGGTACATAGCAAGTAGATTGGATACTATAGTGGACCAAGTGACTCTGGCTCTAAAACAGGACTCGTCTCAAGATTTTAAGGAGAGGATTCAAAAGACAGAATCTGTAATTTGTCTTTGCAGGTATCCCCATGACAATACCCCCAAACGAAATGAACGTGTCTCGGATAAGACAAAGGGCGTATTGTGTGAACATGCTTTGCGCTTCTACCTTCCCATGGAGCATTGCATATTTTACGTCCAAACTGAAAGAGGTCCTCTGTCTTTTGATGCAGGTCCAGAGCATGTAGTTGTCATAGTTGGCAAGCAATTAGAGGTAATCAATTTCATCCTCCGATAGCTAGTAATAATAATGTAACTTGAATATGAAATTCTTATTATTACGAGGAGAAACAAAATATATATATATATATATATATATATATATATATATATATATATATATATATATATATATATATATATATATATATATATATATATATATATATATATATATATATATATATATATATATATATATATATATATATATATGGGTGTTCACGGTGCGGTTTAGGCGGTTTTGAAGCAAAAAATCATCCGAACCGCAAGAGAAAAAAACATGCGGTTCGGTTTGGTTCGGTTGGCTTTTACAAATAAATCCGAACCAAACCAAACTAATGCGGTTTGGATTGGTTCGGTTGTTTCGGTTTTTTACAAAAATAATTATTATGTCATACATACAAATATATAGGAAAATATAATTTTATATTTAATTGTTCATACATTACCATAAAAAATTTATAATTGTCAAAATAAATTTATAATTTGATACATAAAATTGCGTATTATAATTTTATCTAAATCTAAATAATGATATCAACAAGATTGCATTTTTAAATAAATATTATACAAAGAATATGATAAAATATATTTTGTGAAAATAGTATTTATAAATGAATAATATTTTATTTTTTATGATTTGTAAATTAAAATGAATATAATACAAAGTATGATAAAATATACACATAATACATGTTGATTTCTCTATAGAATTATAGAAATATATATTGGTTAGTAAGATTTTATAACATAATGCGGTTTTGTTTGGTTTGATTTGGTTTGTAAAATACAAACCGCAAACCGAACCGAACCATGCGGTTCCACGAGAAAATGACCCAAACACATCCGAACCAAATACGATTTTTTGCGGTTTCGATTTGGTTCGGTTCGGTTTTGCGGTTTTCTATTGGGCCGGTTTGATTTTGAACACCCATATATATATATATATATATATATATATATATATATATATATATATATATATATATATATATATATATATATATATATATATATATATATATATATATATATATATATATATATATATATATATATATATATATATATATATATATATGTCTAAGCCTTCTAATCAACCTCATTGATTAAGGAAAGATATGATACAATAATATCTTTGATACTACTAATAAAAATAATAGATACTCAACAATAATAATAAAATAATATCTCAACACTCCTCCTCAAGGTGGTGCGTATCTCATAAGCATCCATTTTGTCACATATGTATGTAATCCAAAGTCTTCGAAGAGATTTTGTAAAGAGGTCAGTAAGTTGATCTTTGGAATTAACAAAGGAGATTTTGATGGTCTCAGTGGTAATCTTCTCTCTAAGAAAGTGATAGTCGACTTCTATATGCTATGTCCTTTTATGAAATACTGGATTGGAGGAGAGATGCAAAGCTGATTGGTTGTCACATACAAGTTCCATAGGACCGAGTTTACAAAAATGAATTCTTGTAGTAAATGCTTTAACCACAAGAGCTCACATGTGGCATGGGCCGTGACTCGATACTCAGCTTCTGTACTTGATCGGGCAACAACTGTTTGCCTTTTGCTTTTCTATGAGATCAAATTTCTACCAATAAAAACATAATAACCCGATGTAGAGCGTCTATCACTTGCATCTCCTGCCCGATCAACATCTGAATATCCAATGATATTAGTGTTGCCTCGATCACAAAAAACAAGCCATTTTCCATAACTGCATCCCAATGGTAGTCACAAGGAATATTCAAGAACTGACTTACTACACTGACTGGAAAAGATATATCAGGTCTAGTCAAAGTAAGATAATTTAACTTTCCTACAAGTCTTCGATATCTTCCCGGATCAATATATGGCTCCCCCTGATTAGGGAGAAGCTTTACATTAGGATCCATAGGAGTGTCAACTGATTTACAGTCTGTAAGCTTATTTCTTTCAAAATATCAAGAGCATACTTCCTTTGAGAGATAACTATACCTGACTTTGATTGAGCTACCTCAATTCCTAGAAAGTAACAAAGAGAACCCAAATCCTTAGTTTGAAAATTCTGAAATAATTGATACCCTCAAAATCACCACCTGTAATTAACATGTCGTCAACATAAACCACTAGATAAATATATTTATTGGAGGAGTATTTAGTAAAAACAGATTGATGTGATTCACATCGGTTCATCCCAAATTATTGCAACACTTTACTTAATCTTCCAAACCATGTCTGAGGTGATTGTTTCAAGCCAAACAAAGACTTGTGTAATTTACATACCCGATTACACCCTCCCTGAGCAACAAACTCAGGAGGTTGCTCCATGTAAATATCCTCTTCCAAGTCACCGTGCAAGAACGCATTTTTGATATCCAATTGAAATAAATGTCATTGTTTCATGGTAGCCATGGCTAGAAAGAGGCGAACAGATGCAATCTTTGTAACAGGAGAGAAAGTATCACTATAATCTTGACCTAGGACTTGAGTGTGCCCTTTTTCCACTAAGCGAGCTTTCAATCGATCAAATTGTCCATCAAGACCTACTTAACATTAAATATCCACCTACAACGAACAACAGATTTTCCAGGTGGGAGAGAAACAAGCTCCCAAGTATGATTAGATTCTAAAGTTGACATTTCATCCAGTATTGTCTGTCTCCACCCTGGATGGGATAAAGCTTCCTGAATAGTTTTAGGAATAGAAACAAATGTAAGTGAGATAAATAACGCATAATAGGTAGGAAATAACTGATGATAAGACACACAATTATTAATAGGATAAGGGTTACGGGTTGAATGGTTACCTTTACAAGTGGCAGTGGGAAAGTCAGGAGACAGGGCCGGAGCAAGGGCGGAGGCGCTTGGAATAAAAGCTGAATCATGTGGTCTCAATCTTCTCTCATTGTTAATGTCATACTGGTTCAACAGAGGAGGAAACCCATCTATCACATCGGGTGGACTAGACGATAAAAGACTCAACTCAACTGACTCAAAATAAGGAATAGGGAAAACTTGATCCAAATTAGTTTCAGGGACACCTGAGTTGGGAAAGTATGGTACATCCTCAAAGAATGTAACATCTGCAGATGTGTAAAAATGATGCATGAAAGAAGAGTAACATCGATATCCCTTTTGGATGCCAGAGTAGCCTAGGAAAACACATTTAATGGCACGAGTAGACATTTTATCATGACCCAGAGACAAATCATGAACAAAACAAGTACATCTAAAAACACGAGGGGAAACATCATATAAGGGATCTGTAGGATGCATTAGGGAATGGGGAACCTGATCATTCAATAGAGAATGGCATATGGTTAATTAAATACTCAGTAGTAAGAACAACATCACCCCAAACATTTAGAGGTAAATTGGCATTTAGCAAAAGGGTACGAGCAGTGTCAACAATGTATCTATGTTTTCTTTCAGAAACACAATTTTGTCGAGGTGTGTGATGACAACTGGATTGATGTATGATGCCTTTGGAGTGCATGAAAGAGTTAAAACGATCAGAAAAATATTCTTTTGCATTGCCTCTGCGTAAAATGCGAATTGTTTTGCCAAACTGTGTCAAGATTTCAGAACAAAAATTCTTAAAAATATTTAAAAACTCAAAATGTTCTTTCATTAAAAACATCCAAGTACATCTTGAGAAATCATCAATAAAAGTAACATAATACCTATACCCCATGATATAAGGAATCTGACTAGGACCCCACACATTGGAATGAACGACGTCAAAAAGAGACAAAGCTTTGTTATTAATGCGGCTGGAAAAAGAAACTCTAACATGTTTTCCTAACTGACACGACTCGCATTTTAAGGACTCTAAAGGAGAAAGACCAGACACCATTTTCTTCAATTTTGATAAACTTGGATGACCTAAGCAATGATGCAGAAGATCAGGAGATTCAGTAGTAGCACATATAGCATAAGTGGGTGGTTGAAGATAATAAATACCACTAGATTCAATTCTGACTCCAATCATTTGTCCCGTACTCCATTACTGTATCAAAAAATAATCAGAAGTAAATGTTACGACACAATTTAAAGAGCTGGTTAATTTTCTTATAGAAATCAAATTGAAAGGTAAATTGGAAATCAATAAAATATAACTCAAAGACACTGAAGGAATAGGTGATACTCGTCCAACACCAGTTGCCTCAACTTTAGATCCATCCACAACAGTAATGTGGGGCATTATCGGTCACATGGTCTGAAGCACCAGAATCCATAACTCATCCAATAAGAGTAGCACGAGAAAGACAAACCATAGAATTACCATTATGAGCAATAGTAGTCGAGGAGGTGGCTTGTTGTGCTACCTTCATTCGCAAATACTCCTGATACTCGTCGGCATATAAAGTAGTTTCAAGTTCACCCTTTGATTCAGGGTTTGCGGTGATTTGAGCTGCATTAGCAGTTTTGTTCGGGTAGCCGTGTAAGTCAAAGCACCGATCTTGAGTGTGCTAATCTTTCCTACAATAAGTGCAATAGAAGTTACTTCTACCTCCTCTACCACGACCATGTCTACCACGTCTTCCATTACTAAAGTTAGAAACAAAAATAGAGGACTAGGAGTAGTATGAGTGTCATCACTTGGTAGAGATACCCGAATGAGACGATCTATTAGTTCTTCTACCGTAGGAATGGTAGTATTTGTTAACGCCTAGTCTTTAACCAAGAAAAAACTATATTCTTTAGAGAAGCCATGAAGAACAAACACCATGAACTAATTGTCAAGCTTGCCCAATATCTTCGTAATATCATCACTAACCAACATAAGTTTGAGGCCAACAATAGTAGACTGAGCACGGGTGAAATATTCTGATAAGTCTTGATCATTCATCTGAAGAGTAGCCAAGTTGAGGACCGACACATACATTCTTTGAATATCGTTAGCTAGAGGTTTTTAGCCTTCTGCCAAACCTCATAACATTATCTATACGCACAAAAGTGTGCCATCAGATTTGGTTCAATAGAATTTCACAATAATGATACAAATTGATAATCAACAGCTTCCCAGTCATCTTTTATATCTTTATCA